ATATATATATATATATATCATTTTTTATTTTTTCCGGAATTTTCAGGAAAGTCCACTTTCATCTCTGATAAAGAGCACAACTGCCTTCTGTATTTGCCCCTATTTGTCATTGAAGAGTGGGTAGTTTTCTTGGGTTAATTTATTTTTAAGTGTATTCATTTATTTGTAAATAATTAAATATCATTATAAATAAAATTTAGTTGACATTACATTTAATATGGTTTGGATTATTTTAATCATTTTTAATGTATAATTGTATTTTTACTTTTTCTTTCGATTTTTTTTATTTGATCTTATTGAGCATTTAGCTTATTTTTTCTTATTTACACACACACACACACACACACACACACACACACACACACACACACATATAGAGAGAGAGAGAGAGAGAGAGAGAGAGAGAGAGAGATGTGTGTGCATCTGTGTATTTCAGTATATATATATATACAGCATATCAAATGTAATTTGTATTTGTAATTTTAAGTGTTCTCTTTACCTTTTTTAATATGTATTTATGAATACATGTTATTTGCCATCTCATAGCTGATTTATTTTTTTTTACACAATACTTTTAGTTTTTTTGAATAAAACCCATTTTGCCTTTCTAATATTTCCTATGGGAAAATGTGTTTGATATGTTTGATCCTAGCAATTCTAATCTACCTTGTTGGTTTTTTTTTTTAGTGTAATCATATCATCCTAACTAGACCGATTGATTGCTTTGTCCGTGAAACCAGGATAATCCGGCGATGAAGTCTCTGAAGGACAAATTATCTTCCGCCCAGTTCAAAGTCACCGAGCATCGCAATCAGATTCAGTTTCTGAAGCAAGAATTGAAATTGGCTCAGAAGGTACAAAACATCTCACCTATTGTGATCGCCAAACATCCTAATGTGGCATTAATCACTTTGTTCCAGGTTCTCGTGAGTGAGGTTGGGGAAGACGCCAACATTCAGCAGTTACTAAGCTGTGCGGGAAGCTTTCGAGGACGTGCGCAGCAGATACTGGCTCTTCAATCAAGGGTAAAGCGTGTAACATACAACATGATTTTAAACACCTTAAATGATGCGCAAATGGTTGTTTGTCGATTTGTGCCCTGCGACTGGCTGGCAACCAGTTCAGGGTGTATCCTGGCTACTGCTCGAAGACAGCCGGGATAGGCTCCAGCACACCCCGCGACCTTCGTGAGGATAAGCGGATTAGAAAATGGGTGGATGAATGGATTGATTATAAAATATGAGAAAACCCACACTTGATTTGCATGT